AGAGTGTGACAGCAAGAATATTCGGTCCGACTGTCAGAGCTGACTGCTCGAAGCTTCCCTCTCCAAAAGGCAGTACCTGCTCCTATTTATAGCTGGGAGAATCCATGCGTGCGTGGGTAAATTACCATAACAGAAATTAAACCGGGATCAGTTCGAAATTCCCTGAAAGTTACTTTTATCAAAAAAACCCTGAAGAAGGTTGAGGCGGGGGGGGACGTCACGGCGGTCGTAACATTGGAATAAAATCAACAAAGATGAGTTCATTATTACGAATGTAAAATAAACGATTTATTTTTGTGTCATTTTATGCGAAGCAAGTCGATAGTTCTATTTAAGACGCAAGTGGCTACTGGAAGCGAAAGAAGGTGAGAAGACTTTAGAAGGAACCGGAAACAAAATCCTAAACAGGAAACAAGGGATAAACCTCTCATCCTGTTTATGACAGGGGAGGTGTGTGAACCGGGCGATAGGAGGAACTGTCTACTCGTTGATCATTTTTTTGTTTGTATCTCTCTCTCTTTTCTCTTTCTACATATTTTGCACAACGTAAAAAATTTACATTTGCATATGCGTGTGTGTTTTTGTGTTTATGTATAATGTTATCTAATAACTTGGACCGATGTTAAATGTGAATTAAGTTTAAGAGTCTAATGATTTTTTCTTTTATTTCAGATTTGGCGGATATTTGAGCGATTTTATTTTTCACGCATAATTGGCATGACTTAAATAATATGACCCAATAAATAAATAAATAACTTACTGCTGAGTCTGGTGCGTTTTAATATGTTGAGCTCTTTTTGTGGATCAGTTTTTAATATTTTATATTAATAGGATCTAATTGGATTACTTACCTTTTTTTTTTTTTTATATATATATATATATATATATATATATATATATATATATATACATATATACATATATAATATATATATATGTTCCAATAACTTGGACTGATTTTAAATGTGAATTAAGTTTAAGCGTCTAATGATTTTTTTTTTTTTTTTCAGATTTGGCAGGACATTTGGGCGATATTATTTTTCACACATAATTGCCATGACTTAAATAGCATGATCCAATAGAGAAGTAAATAAATTTTCACCAGTAACACTGATTTATTTACTGCTGACTTTGATCCGTCTTAATGAAACACCCTTTATATATAATCCGTTTTAATGAAACACACTTTAGATAATAAGATCTAAAGTCGCATTAATGTAAGATGTGAAAAATTGTACGTGCGAATATTAGGCAAAAAAGGTTTTGTGGTTCAATCTCTCTGTATGAATCACGTATAGATGCCAAATCAGTGAGCATTGTTTATACTTTAAATTAAATTAAACCGCCAAGCGAATTAAGCTAGCACTAAAAGCCCGGCATTCGTTGTCCATTTGCTTGTTCTCTTTTAGAGCGATAAGCGATTCTTAAGGAACCGGAAGTTACCGCAAGAAGGATCCGTTGCCCAGTGAGAAAATTGCTTCCGGTATGAACGCGTACGAAACGATTTTATTTTTTTGTGTTTATTCGTTTGCTAAATATATGTACATTTTAAGGATTGTCTACGTGCGTTATAGACAAAAATGCATTACTATATACGCATCTCTCTATCTCTCTCCCTTTCTATCTCTCTCTCTCTCTATATATATATATATATATATATATATATATAATATATATAATTAATGCTTGTTATATTCATTTGTTTATATATTACACACGGACACACACACACACACACACACACACAAGCGCGCGCATATATATAATGCAACCTCGGTTCACTAACAGCTCACATGTCGAAAAAATCGTTTTTTGAACATAACATTCTGGATGAAAATACCTCGGTTATCGAGCAAAATTTCGGTTCTCGAACAGAATAATTTCTGAGTCGACCGCTGTGTTGTATACATTCATGCGTTCTGCCGTGTTTTCGTTTCCAATTTTATTGTACTTTGACTTTTTTTCTCTACATTGATTCCTACTGGAAAAATTGTTTCGGTTTACGAACACTTCAGGTTACGAACGACCTTCAGTAACGAATTAAATTCGTGAACCGAGGTTCCACTGTATATATATATATGCATGTATGTATGTAAGAAACCAACACATGCACGTACGCATGGACGTACATATCTATCTTATCTATCTATCTATCTATCTATCTATCTATCTGCCTAGGTATATGGTGCGATGGATAAATTGTCATGTAAATTACACAAAAATTACAACAACATTGATATCTCATTTTAACAGGTATTTATACCAAAATAACACAAAAATATGAAGTAGTAATTTTATTCAATAAAATCGATATTGTCTTCAACCACGGCCTCCAGGCAACTTCGGAATCTTCTTCAACAGCTCTGGGAGGATCTCCTTTGGTGAATGCTGACATAATTCTTGCCTTCAGTTCATCTTTTGTCTTACAAGGAGTTTTGTTGGTCGCTCCCTCAATTGCGCGCACACATAATAATTAAGGAGGTTGCAAGTCTGGGGAGATTAGTGGCCAGATGTAAGGAGTGATCTGGTCGCAGAAATTATCTGACAGCTATGATTGGGTTCTCCTACCTGTGTGGCATGATGCAGATTCCTGTTTCCAGACATAGTGTCTTCCAGTAGTCATCGTCTTGACCCAGGACAGCACTATGTCCTTAAGGCACTTGATGTAGGTCTTCGTATTGGGTTTGGGGCCCTTACCAACAAATTTGGGTGTTATTTTCATATCAGAACGCTCAGGGTAAGTTTTCCGAGCTGCTGGAATCCTCGGCACTGTCCTCAGATTGACATCTAAACACTCTGAAAGGTTCGTATTGGAGCTTTCGGCGCAAAGGCCAAGCAGAACAGCATGCCGTTTCCAGATTTCTGGCGCGGTGAATTGCATCATGATACTCTTTTGCTCACAGACGGTTCCCAACTTAACCTACTATACTGGGCAGTCGACAAAATCAAAAACAAACAACGCGCATGCGGGAAATTTAAAATTTAAAATAGCGATAATTTACCCATCGCACCCTGTAAACACTGACGAGGCGGTATATATGTGTGTTCGTTGGGTATTTTTCTGTTCTCTCTCTCTCTCTCTCTCTCTCTATATATATATATATATATATATATATATATATATATATATAGATTTTAAGAAAAGAGAGATATATTAAATAGATAGATAGATAGAGAATGAGAGAGAGAGAGAGAGAGAAATATGCATCTATAAAAATAGATGCACATATATACAATGGGGTTGAATAAGTGATCGTACAGCAAACAAATGCTTGTTATTCTCACTTATAGCGAATTAAAACCTTGAATAACAATCTTATATATGTATTTTGAGGCATAGAATCAGAATCTGCAATTTAAAATTAGAAATTCATCGATAAGTGATTGTTATGCAAATTTTTATATTTCGAATAGTGGAAAAAGTGTTCGTACAGTATCAATTTTTGCATTTTTGCATTATAATACGCTAGATTTTGGTTGTACTTCAAAGTAGAAGATTCTAAACTGTTCTAGAATATTCTCAGTAACTCTATTGCAACATTCAGTTCAAAATTGGATCATTCTGCAGTCACTGTTCACTGATAACGGTTCTAATAATGGCTAGACATAAGGAAATCATTTGTGCTCAAAAAGAGCTAATTATTAAGCTATGGAACAATGGAAAAAGTTACTGAAACATCTCCAGTGACACGAACATACCTTTTTCAACAATTGGTTCATTTATTGCAAGATTTAAAAGACGTAATACTTTTGAGAACAAAGGCAGGCCCGGTGCTCCCAGGAAGATCTCTCCCAGATTACGAAGAAAGCTGATGCGACATGTCCAAAATAACCTAATAGCAATCAGACAAGACCTTCAGAATGATCTGAGTTTGTCAGGAGTTAACGTAACTAAGCAAATGATTAGTAATGAACTACGCAGAGATGGTATAAAGTCGCGCTCCCAAAGAATGACACCACTCCTTCTGAAATGGCATAGAGACGCCAGGTTGAAATTTGCGACAGAGCATAAAGGTAAAGAAAATTCTTATTGGAAAAGCGTTCTTTGGACAGATGAAAGAAAATTGAGTCGCAATTTTCTGAATCATGTGTGGAGGAAAGACGGCGAAGCATACGCACCCAAGATCACCATACCAACTGTCAAATTTGGTGGGGGTAGTATCATGGTTTGGGACTGCTTTTCGATGCGAGGTGTTGGCTAACTAGCAATTATAGACGGTAGAATGAATGCAGAAAAATATCAACAAATCCTAAGCGAAAATTTATCACTTTCTGTAGAGAATCTTGGGCTTCCTCCTGATTGGATCTTCCAACAGGACAATGCTAAGAGTATACTGCTAAGAGTACGAAGAATTGGCTTGCTAATAACAACGTTAACATTTTACAATGGCTCAGTCAGTCGCCGAATTTGAATCCAATAGAGAATTTATGGCGGTTTTTGAAAAAATATGATCCGTGATAGAGGTCCAACAAACATCAAAAGCCTCAAGACAATTACTCAGGAAGAATGGGACAAAATAGATACTAAAGTATGCGAATCGTTAATTAAAGACCACAGGAAGAAATTGGTTGCTGTTGAACTTAATAAAGGCTTTGTTACAAAATATTAAATGGAGAAAACGTGTTTTTCTGCTGTACGATCATTTTTTAAACCCTTAAAAATTTAAATATTGGTATATTTTCTTAACCATGGAATATTATTTAGTTTTATATGCATTCATTTTAGTATGGAATCTGACACATGAGATATATTCACGTTTTGTTAATTTAATTTGTTACAAATAAAAATATATGAAATATTTTCATGTATGACCACTTATTCAAACCCAAAATATATATATATATATATATATATATATATATATATATATATATATATATATATATATATATATATATATGGATATCTAACTTTAGCCCAACAATTATCGTAGCAGAAAAGGGAATTAGAGAGCTATGTCTATATTCTGGCCTAGTCTGTTGCGTTCGCTATAACGGCTTTCGGCCATAGCACGTTGACACATTGGTTCCCGTACGATCATCGAAATTAAGCAACCTTGAACATGGTCAGTACCTAGATGGGTGACCGTTTGGTAATACCCGGTGCTGTAAGCTTGATGTGCGCATGGTGAATCGGAGAGTGTGTTGCTTATGGTCATTGACACTCTGATTGCATTGATATATATTTTTTCTTTGATGGGGGGGGGGTACAATTGTGTGTTTACCGCTCTGTTTGACCGGATTGGTGCTTCCCAACCCCTCCGGTGAATTTGGTTGGTTTGCGTATGATATGTATGACCGACTATGATTTTTTCCATCTCAGGCCGGCCTGGGAGAATAAAAGTTCCTATTTTCGCACTACAGCTGCCGACCGCCTGACGTCTTCGCGAGCGAAAAAATATGATAGTATTGGCCAGTGACTGTTGCCAGAAAATTAATTCGTAATTTAGAATAGCTCTGCCATTTTATTTGAAAGCTGTTTATATATATATATATATATATATATATATATATATATATATATATATATATATATATAGAAGAGGTTCCAACGAGAGAAAAGTGTATATTTAAAAAAAAGGAGAGTAACCGCAAATGTTTTTGGTTATAATGTGGATTTTTTAAAAAAAAATACTTATATTTTATTTTCCGTAATTTTTCTACACGGGTTTCTGCTCTCGCGACCTTCTTCAAGCAAAAAGTGGATATTTCCACATATTATTAAAATAGATTAATTTTCCTTATGTTTTTCGATGTTAAACATTGACTTTTTTTAGGTAGTAGTGACACAAATGTCTTTCTAGGACTGGTGGTAAGAAAGTTCTTCTGCTTAAAGGCTAATAAAATAATTAAGATTGATCCGAGAAAGGGTGTGGAAAGATACTTGTATTCTTAGGTTTTAATGACCTCTGTATGTTCTTAGATCTATTTCCATTTTTGTGTATTGTGTGAGCTTTTTTTGCTAGTATGTGTACTTGCATACTGTCTTATTAGAAGGAATTGCTTTATTTATGGGTAAAAGTGGCCAGCAATATCTTGGATAGAGTTCATTTAAACCCTGAGCGGTGATTGACTGTTTCAAGTTTGAGTGCAATCTTCAGGCCTGAAAATGCGCTCAAGGATGAAACAGACTGTCGCCGCTGGGCGTACATCTCAGAGTCCAGTTTTATATCTTTATATATATATATATATATATATATATATATATATATATCAGAGAGAGAGAGAGAGAGAGAGAGAGAGAGAGAGAGAGAGAGAGAGAGAGAGAGACTCTCATCTACGGACGCTCCATCAACGAATTTCAGATGCAACGGACAGAATCTGCTGAAAAAACTTCCAAACATCAGCGATGTATTTCAAAATATACAGGCTTAGCGGAACGAGTCCCAAAGTGGCCGCTTGGCGGCTGTGACGGTCCTTTTCAATTGTAAACAAAGACGGGTGTACAGTATATAAATTACGATACATTAACGCGTGCGTGAGTAAGTAGCTGTGAGAAATCTATTATTTCTGCTATTTTGATTAATATATATATATATATATATATATATATATATATATATATTAAGTATATATTTATTTATTCCATATATACATATTTATAGTATTGACATTATGATCATAACTACTGGTAGTTGCAACAGTGGATTTATAACTCAAAAATAAACCCTTCCTGTCGACGTTCAGTCAGCTTTAACGGACCACTCATCCCCGCAATTAGTCCGTTGATGAGAGGTTATATATATATATATATATATATATATATATATATACAGTATATTTAAAAATATATTTGAGATGTAAATACGTGAGTAATTACATAGTCTAAGCAAATGAAATGGAATAGAATTATTGCTGTGCAAATTAAGATTTATTGATCACCTCTGAATGAGAAAATCTAAAGTATGTGTATTTCATGAAAGATTTCACAAGTTTTCAATGTGTGCACCACCTGTGACAATATATATATATATATATATATAAGTAGTAAATTATAATTCATCATGTCTAGACGTAGAAACCTCAATAGAATGCAGAAAAGCTCTGGACGGCTAATCCTATTTCCGTAATCTTTGCTCGTGGGGTCTGTCCTAGGGGTTATGTATATTTGGATATTCAAATCCCCAAAATTACTATTCAACTATATAATCCTATGCTAGATTCTGCTTCTAATGATCTGGATTGAGCGGTTTGGTGAAAAACGTCGTTGCTTTTGCTGGCCAGTCCTGTCGGTTATGTATACTTGGATGAGTATCACCACCGGAAATCGCATTAGCTGCGCTATATTGTATCTAGTTACTTAGTTTTCTCTCCATCGCCGAGGCCCGCTGGTCCAATGGTGTGATGCTTGTGTTGTATTGTAACTGTTTGGGTTCGATTCCCAGTAGTGGATGCGCACTGCTGATGAGTCCCCAAAATATAACGAAACGGCCGTCCAGTATTTTTCTGCATTCTGTTGAGGTTTCTAAGTTTAGACATGACGAATTATTATAATATATATATATATATATATATATATATATATATATATATATATAAATATAGAAATTAGTTAAAATTATTTTAGATTCACTTATGCATTATATACTTTGATTTATTGATGTATGCATTATATATTTTGAACAACATGATGTTATGGACTTAACCCATTCCTTTTGAATTTTTAGTACTTTTGTGGTTATGTGACTTTTCCTTTGTTCTTATTCATATTCTCCTTTCACAGATATAATCTATCTGAAATTTTTACACACACACACACACACACACACACACACACACACACACACACATATATATATATATATCATCTATAATGCACTGTTTAAATTTTGTTGCAGTACGTGTCTTTTTCTGCCAGACATGCATATATATATATATATATATATATATATATATATATATATATATATATATATATATATAAACATTACCTACTGACTTTCGTTTATTAGGCTTTGAATTATGTTGACATTTCCACTAACCTGATGAATATTTATCCTATACTTAAAAAATTTGAAAAAAAAAAACGTTTTTCTTCATGTATATAAATGCTTGTCATAAAATAAAATCCGGACACTTGCCTTGATAGTCCCTCAGACGACGAAACGCATCGGCTAAGATAAGTTTTCAATTTTTGTCTTTATTCAAATATATATATCTATATATATATATATATATATATATATATATATATATATGTACACGTGTGTGTGTGTGTGTGTGTGTGTGTGTGTGTGTGTGTGTGTGTGTGTGCTGGTGTACGCTCGTGTGTTTTTTTTTTACCTTCGATTTCATTATCAGGATAGTTGCAGTTTAAAAAAGAAAAATAGAAATATTAGACAAAATTAAAAAAGAAGACACCACTGCACCATTGTTATTTTTTCTGTGTTGAACAATGGGCGCCATTCTGCGAGTCGCGTTACAAGCAGGAAGTCTGTTGCCGCATTTAGAGCTTTAGTGTTCGTCTTCGCGAGAGGCAGATGCACGTCGGTGGATCCCTTTACCGTCCTTTAATTAAGACAGAACTTGCGTAGCCGATGAAACGACTGTCAAAATCACGACTGATCTACGTCGCTGCTCGCTCTTTTTCCCGCGCGCGGGACCGACCGACCGACTGCCTACCCGCCTGCTTCTTCCTTCTTTCGTTCTTTCGATCGCTAGCCTATATTTGTCTAATTCCGATTCGAATCCAGAAAAAAACAGCTTTTGTTTACCCCTTCCGTAGGACAAGCTGCAGATAAGTAATATCCTGGAGACCTGCGCCACGTTTTTCTGATTTGTTTCATTTTATCTCTTTATTTATTTATTTTTTAATTTTTTTTATACTCTTTTGTTTTGTCTGTTTGTTTCATTTTATGAAGTGATGTTTTTTGGGCTTTTTATTTTATTAAAGAAAAAAGCTTTTGTAATTTGCTATTTATTTTTCTTCTGCAATCTTTTCTCTGCTTTCTTTTCTATTCGGTTTCATTTCCTTTCATCTGAAGCAATCGAATCTGAGTGTTTGGCTCACGATTAAAGTATATAAAAATGTTTAAAAAGAATGCTGTGAAATGATAGTTATAAACTAAGATAGATATATAGATAGATAGACGTTTAGACAGACAGATAGACAGATAGATAGATATCAAACTCGGTAGATATAACTATCTGGATATCTAATGATGTCGTTAACGTAGCTAGATAACCATAAACTAGGTATGAATATATGTTTATATATATATATATATATATATATATATATATATATATATATATATATATATATATATATATAGGTATAAATATATGTTGTTATATATATATATATATATATATATATATATATATACAGAGATACACTAACTAGCTAGGTTTAGAGATATCCACAGCAATAAAACTTTAAATGCAAATTAGGGATCTAGATAATTAAGTGTAGACAATTACATAGATAGATAGATAGATAGATAGATAGATAGATAGAAACTAGTTAAATAGCCAGGTAGCTGGTTATCCAGATAGCTATGTAGTTACCTATAAACTAGCTAGATAGAAATGGCTGTGATATATATATATATATATATATATATATATATATATATATATATATATATATAGAGAGAGAGAGAGAGAGAGAGAAAGATCGAGATAGATAGGTAGATATGAAACAGGACACGAGAGATAGATTTAAATTAGATATATCGAGAGCTAGATAACTAATTGTAGACAAGATCGATAGAAACGAGCTAGATATCGAAGTAGATAGATATCTAGATAGCTAGCGGTATGTAGCTAACTATATACTAGATATATTGATATAAACTGGCTGTAATTGATAGATAGATTTTGTGTATATAAAGTTGGAATCTCTATCTACACACAAGCACGCGCACACACACACAAACACACACATATATTAATAAATATGCATATACCTACGTTCGAAGTGCAAATGAAAGTTTCATGGTTCTGGTAACTCATGAGGCACGTGTTATTACGCTAGATTTTACAAAATTAACCGTAACAGTTCGTGCCTGATGAGTTGGTAGAACCAGAAAATTTTAAGTTGCGCCTCGAACGTAGGTATATATATATTTATTAATTAATACTTCTGACCTATGTTTAACCACATTGAGC